TGCAATATCCACCATAGTGGATTATCACCCCAGTAATCCACTAAACTATTCAACCTTTGAACAGTTTAAACCTTTCATGTACCCACACCAAAGTACTGTTGAATATACAAACGTTGATAGGCTCTAGATTAACCATACACATAAATTAGGTATTGTCATAATAATATGTCATCTAAGTAACCTGATAAAAATATTACAAATTTTAACTATTAGTATCTGAATATTGGATATGAGAACTATTCGTTATAAGTGATTATAATAAATCGATAGATAGTGTTCTAAATGCCATTGTCTAGCTACACCAAAAAGACAGAGAGTAGGTACCTAGCACATTTAAAACAAATAACTAGTATTATAAAGTTTTTACTTTTAATTTAGTTCATGGAAAGTTGACTTAGGTACCATTTTTAAAATAGAAAGATAAAAATAATTTCATTTTGAATAACTATAAAYTTTAGGTAGGTTATTGTTACCCAATTATGATTAGTTAAATCCTGAATCGTTCTTAATAAATGCTGAACTATCTATTTAAATGTCAAATCATTATTAATAAAATATAAACTAGGTATACAATCACTTTTTAAAATAAATTGGGCCTGAAATAAGTTGCTTATTTACTATTTAATTATTATATAATTTATTCGCTGTGTCTAGAGCACCGGGCACCCGGACATATTATAGCACATTATAGAATATTTTTTGTGTAAAATAGTATACTTATATATGACCTAGGTAAGCTTAGGGTTTATTCTTAGTGTTTTTTTTATTTATAATAACTATAAAAGCACATTTGATTAAATCATTTTGGTACCTTTTTTGATTATTATAATATTTACATTTTTGTTCACTTTATCATTTTAATAAGAGTTAGGTACTAATTATACCTTTATTAATTGTTTTTATTTATTAGGTATAGTTGTAACAAATTAAAATATAGTCCAATTGTAATTCAGTAACATTTATATGGCAGACACTTGTGAGTTATAAGTTAATAAAGGTCAAAACATTTGAATATGTTGGTAGGTTCTCCTCCTAGTTTTAGTTTATTTTAAGTGGTCTTTTGTGGTATCCCTTGTCACCATTTTAAACAAGTATCTATTAAATACCTTGTTGAATTAAATGATGAAATATTCAGCTTACATCTCAATATGATAGAATATTTATTAAACAATAATGATCATATTTGATTATTATTTTGCTGTCATCATTTTAAGGGATCTTTTATGAAGTCTAAAATTATAGATTTATGACTGTATATGGAATATTCTATTATAATATAGTACTTCGATTATAGTTGTAGAGATACATTGTTATTGGTTGGATTATTGTAGGTATCTTATAGTAAAGTCTTTATATCTAAACATTATTATATTTTAATTTTAAAGACTTAGGTCCTGAATTAAATTGTAACTAAAATTTAAAATAATTAACACAACTTATTAGCTCCTAATATTAATTTCGAGAATAATTTAATAACTAWCTATTAATTACTTTTTTTAACATATAATGTTGTATATTTTTTAAAACAACATCAATAATTAATAATACTGTTTATAAATCGTTTTTCAGAATTAGTGAACAAAAAGAAAATTATTTAAAATTAACTGCAATGAAAAGTGGTAAGAAAATATTTTTTATGTATTTTATTTTTAGTAGGTTTCTACCTAACTTATTTGATTAATTTACCACACTAACACAACACAATAGGTAAAATAGATGACTGACTTAACACTGTATACCTAAATATTACCTGAATGGACTTATTAAAAATTGGAAATCAAAATTTTATTTTATTAGCGCAGATTATTATTATTATTATATTCTTATATAATAATAATATTCTTTTAGATAGTCAGTTAAGGATATCAAATATCAACATGAAAGACTGTTTTCAATTTTTTCCCTAAAAATAAGCAATTCAAAAGTTTTTCTTTTATGATTGAAATAGTTGTAAAAATTTTTTCCCAAATTTTTTTTCAATTTTTTCCCTAAAAATAAGCAATTCAAAAGTTTTTCTTTTATGATTGAAATAGTTGTAAAAATTTTTTCCCAAATTTTTTTTCAATTTTTTCCCTAAAAATAAGCAATTCAAAAGTTTTTCTTTTACTCTTTTATTGAGTTGATATATATTTATTTAATAAATTCTTAATGCAAAATGTTATTTTATCAAATTTTACAAGATGTCATTTAATTAATGTATATATATATATATATATATTATATAGTATATTAGTATACCTGGTCAATTTAAATGCTAATGTTATGTATATATATACATATATCTACCTATTTATGAGTTATAAACATTTCCTAATATGTTAGGCAGCACTGAACTAAATTCAGTGGTGTGAGGTAATTATAATTTAAAGATAAGTATCCTAAGTAAACAAATTGTTGATTATAACACAACTCTAAGAAAAAAGATATTAAATTTAAAAATTAAAATAATTACCTGAAATATAGTTCACTCTACAGGAATGATTCATTGTTAAAAAAAATATTACTCATTTGTTATTATACCTATTTTGTTTACTTGTAAAATATTCTATGTACCTATTATTTATTAATGTGTATAGAGGTATCTTCTACCTATTACCATATTACATTTTATCTTTACTGCTTACTTGTTAATTGTTTACTATGAACTCTGAATAGGTAAATGTGCGGGGTTATGCTTGATAACAATATTTTATGACCATCTAAAGAAAA